CAACCCGGCGCCCCCTGCAGCCCCTGCTCCTGCAGCCCACGGCCACTCGTGACCAGCAGCAGCTCCACGGACACGGAGCGGAGCTGCAGCAGAGTTCTTCTTCTTCTTCTTCTTCTTCTTCTGCTTGTTTTTTTTTTATATATGACATGACAGCAGCAGTTTATTATCGGCCTGTCAGAATAATCACCCGGACTCATTACAGCTGCTGTTCGTCGCTGCCGTGGAACACAGGCGTGCACGAGCACGAGCACACGCACGGAGATGAGAGTCTGACAATTTGTCTATAATGAGCGGAGCTCGCGGCGCGCACAAACACAGCAGGGGGGGGGGGGGGGGGGGGGGGGCAGCATCCTCCAAAGTTAAAGTAAAAAAACATTAAAAATAATAATAATCTCCTCAGATTATCAGACCAGGTCTGAGAGAAACAGAGCAACTTCTGGAGTTTGTTGAAACAGCAAATATAGACAAAAAATAAATAAATAATTCTTAAAAACAAACCTGGGGAAGAAAAAAAAAACTTACAAACAAATAAAAGTGTCAGAAAAGAAATGGAATGCTGCCCCGTTTTCTGATGAAACTTACAGACTTTGGAACAAAATGTCGTAAAATAAAACGTCACTCAGTGAAACAATAATAATAATTATTAATATATATATATATTAACTGACAAATAAAACACATTAAATAGAAAATATTTTTGTACTTCAATCGTGGACCTTAATATTTCTGGAAATTACGTCTCTATATATTTCTACATTTGTATTTTTTACCTAAATGTATTTAACTTTGTTAGTCCTAGTATTTTTTTTTTTTTATAAATAACACACAGAAGCTTCTGGAAGATCGTAGAAGTCGTAAAACTCCAGGATTGCTGTACGACTCTATGATGTTCTGACGTTTTTCCACTGTTGTCAGAATTTATTTTTTCGTCTGTGGAAAAGTTCTCTCTCTCTTTCTTCATGTGCCGAACCCTGCTGTGAACGAACTGCTGCCGCCTCTCACACACACACACGTCAATGCTTAATCATGTGCGCCTTCTACTGGAGCCGCGGGGGACTGCACGCACAGATGGAGCCGTTGCTCAGACAATGAAGATCTCACTGGCTCAAAGAGGAAATACATTTTTATCTGTTTCTCCTCCCGGCGTCGAAACGCAAAACATACTCAGAGTGAAGTCACGGTTATCGCGGTATTTGCGGTGTTTTGTTCACCGTTAGATCCTCAAATAAAACTAACAAACAAAGTTAGATCCTCAAATAAAACTAACAAACTAAAGCGTTTTCACTGCGTTTATCCATCACACACACACACACACACTGGCTCAGTGAGAATTAGTGAAACCTGAGAATAAAATAATAATAAAAACAAATGTGAAATTATAATCTGCTGCTCATATATGGATAAATATATTTATAAATATATGCCTTTAATAATGTGAACATTTTCTGGAGAAAACCTTTAATACTGCATACGTGTGTGTAGTACTGTAGTATTATGTACACTGTTTAGATAGTATAAGATAATATTAATTAAAACTACATAATGTGGTAACGACATCGTAGTAAAGGCACAGTCCAAACGGTTCAGAACCGTGGGGTCAAAGGTGAAGATGCTGAGATTCAGACCATCAGAAATGAACAGCTGAGGTGAAGAGTTTGGAGATGAAGATGTTCAGAGGAGAGAGAGTGTAGGAATTCTGGACAAAGGTCCTGAGGACGGAGCGTCCAGACAGGAGGGAGACAACAGGAGGAGAGAGACAGGAGGAGATTCTGTCGTTCATCGTTAAGATGAAGAATATTTATATTACAGAGAAAATGTCATCAAATATATTTCCACAATTTTCTTTCCCAGTTTTAAGACCTTTGTAACTTGAACCTGAAGTAAAGATTTCTAAAAAAAAACCTTGATTCTGTTCTGTCTCCGTCTCTCTGTCTTACGAGTTCAATCTGGATC